CCACCTGGCCATATGTCAGTCATTAGCTCTCTGTTGCTGTTATTACTTAAGTTTTGTGTACATGTGTGTGTCTATGCGTGGGTATGTGGACTTGGCAGTGTGAATGAAGTCAGAAGAGCCTATCGATGCCCTGCGGCTGGGGCTGTAAGTGCCTGGTGCCACCTGGGTGCTCGGAACCAAACTTGGGTCCTGGGCAAGAACGGCACAGGCTCTGAACTGTGGAACCATTTCTCCAGCCTTCAGTTTTTCCTTCTTCAGATGAGTGTGAGCACAGCTCTCTTCAGACTTTCTGTTGAGTAATTTGTGTACATGGATCCTGCCCTTTACTTGCTTAGTGGTCTCTTATAGGAGTTACCAGAAAAACATGGGATATTCCAGACAGGGTTTTGCCACATTGATTAGCATACATTTGCTGTCCTCTGTGATCTGTGTTCTCTTACTGTGGTCCAGGCCTGGCAGGGCTCATGGAATGCAGACTTTCCTCAGTCTTCATGTGCTGACACAGAGAATGAACTGGGGTATGTTCAGTCACTGTAGTGGGGGTACATGTATCCCTGTCATGCACCAGGTGCTATTGGTACAAGTTGCTGTTCCAAGAGGACTGGGCCACGGACCCACCATTTTTGTGTTTGTCATTAGTTTGAGCGGCCCTTGCATCCTGCCATGATGTGAGCATCCTTTGATGTCAGGCATCTCTGTATTTGTTTCATTTCCTCCCTAGATTTGCACACTTACTATCCCAGAGCATGTTTGGGGGATGTGTCTACTTAGCCGGAGAACATTTTCAATAACCTCTCCTGCTTTTATTGCAGTTCTATTAGCCTTCTTCTTTTGTTGCACTAGTTCACCTGGGCCCCATCAAAGCAGGAAGGGGACTCCTACTTCCAGAATCCAGTAAGGCAGATGAGATGCAGAGTGGTGGAGATCAGACTTTGTACTGAAGGTCGGGACAGACTGGATGGCAAAGAGATGGCAGCGAGAGGAAGTGAGTGTGGGTGGAGGCGGTGAGGAGGGATGCAGGCTCTTAGAAGGCACGGTAAGGAGGACCTGGGGAGACTGCTCATAGATACGTGTGTGCTGTATAGGCATAAGGGGTTGAGTTTGGGCACCGCCACTTATGTAATGTCAGCCCTGGGAAGTAGAGACAGAACCCCTAAATTCTTGTACATTGAACTCAGTTTGTCTGTCTTTCAGGGAAACGTTTCTGCATCCCTAGAGGTAATAGTGGTCATGTCTCACTACAAAGGCATTTTTAGTGTTTTTTTTTTTTTCCCTCACATTGCTGATAATCTGGGCCGTGCATAACAAGGGTCTACTATGTATTTTCAAATGTAGGTTAAAGCACATGGGAAATATTGCAGTCCTGAGACTTTTTGGACTGAACTAGCAAGCCCTGTTCTCGGTTTGTCCGGATCACGCGCATGTGTGCTCACACACTTGGATTGATCTTTGTATGCACACATAGGTTTGAAGGAAGTGGTGGGGAGAGGTTTGGCATTCAGGTGGCAGAGTGGTCCACCTTGGCTCTGGATGTTTGTATCACCTGTTTGGTGTTGGGCAAGGTCTCTGAGCTATGGAGACCCTCTCTTGTACAATTGATTGTGATGCTAGCATGCCATCTTGTAAGATGGCAGCCAGAGTAAAATGACATTGTGCGATACTCGGAGTGTTCAGAACGTGCACCACACACTAGTGACTGTAAATATGTCATCTTTGGTCTATCTTATTGGTTACTTTTCTCATGGCTGTCATAAAACACTGAACAGAAGCAACCTAAGGGAAGAAGATTTTATTTTGGCAGGTGATTTCACAGGGATTTCTGTCCATCATGGTGGGCAAAGCCAAAGGAGCATTTTGGTCCCTGGTGGGGAGTGATGGATGCCGTGGTGGTGTATCACACGAGGTACACAGGAAACAGAGAGCTAGAAGAGAAGAGGAGGTAAAGATAACCTTTATGTGCCTGGCCCTGGTGGCCTACGTCCACCAAGTAGACATCATCCTCCCAGAGTGCCACAGTACCACCAGCTGGGGACCAGGTGTTTAAGCACGTGAGGCTATGAGAGACATTTCACATTCAAGTCATGATAGTGTTCTTGCCTACAAAGTTGTTTTGTCTGTGAAAATCTTGGATCCAGTCACAGATGATAAACCCCAAGTAGAGACTGTCTTTCCCTCTTCTTGTTCCTGAACTCAAGCATCAAGCAGACCTTTAAGGACTCTGTCTATATCCCTTAATTGTCGGAATTAGACAGCAGCGGCAGGAGCCGGAGAACTCACAGTTCCTCCCAGCGCTTCCCTAATGCATTCCAGACAGTAAAAGTGTAAAGGTAAATGATTGTTCTGAGCCCAGAAGAAGCCCATATTTGGTGAGAAAGGCCAGTGGCCTCTGGAACCTTCTGAGGTAGTCATAAGAAATATTTATAGCTATAGGCAGCTCTCCTTCAACAAAAAAGCACTAAAAGTATATATGTATATTCCACACTCTAACTAGGTCCATGTTTTAAGGTTGCTAAAATCCAGCATAGGTGACAAATGTGAACATCTTTTCTTGTCTCAGTCACAAGATTTGAATTTCAATTCTGCCTCATGTCAAAGTTGGACCATGCTATTGTTTCCTAGTTGGTACAAAACTAGCCTGTGACTATTTGAATGCGGCTTCTCAGACTTGGTTTGAGGAGGAAGAAGAGGAACAGAGGACCTTGCAAGGTTGTAGTATTGGAAAAATACCTTCATCTCCTTTCAAACACTTGGAATGAGTGAGACCCCACATATGTGTTATTAATAAGTACCCCCTTTCCCCGAGAAGAGAAACCAAATCCTGAAGAGCCTGATTCTTTTACACTGGACTCATCAGAATCTCTGTTTGCAAGGGCAACTTGAGAGCTAAGACATCCCCAGAGCCTTTGTTCTTCCACTAAAAGGTCACTTTTTTTTTCCCCCAGCACTCACTGCAACTTGAACCAGGAGAAACTGCAGTTCAAATTTGGAACCCGCAAACTTGAGGCGTTAAAGTGAAACCTATGTTGTACAAAAACTCACCCAGAGGAAACTCCTGAGATAGACAGGGCAGTGTCTTAGAAAGATACATGTTCTAGGGACGGGGGGTAAAGTGCTTGCTTTGTGAGCATTCCGCTTGCATGGGCTCAATCCTAGAGCATAAAAGTAGAAAATAAGGTGTGGTGATGTGTGTCTGCAACCTGGCCCCGGGCCTGCAGAGACGGGGAGATCCCTTAGGCTGTCTGGCCAACCAGCCTAGCCTACTTAGCAAACTCTAGGCCAGTGAGAGACTCTGTCTCAAGAAAACACAGAGGACTGACTGAAGAATATTGTCTGAAGTTGGGTTTTTTTGGCCTCCACACACACGTACACCTACATGCAAGCATGCCCCCCTGCATGCTGCACACATACAAATATGTGTGCAAAATACACTTACTCGAACACACACTCACACAACTCACACACTCACAGCCACATACACACTTAAATGCACACACAAGAGGAGGAGGAGAAGAGAAGGAAGAGGAAGACAGACAAACAGGTTGGAGGGAACAAAAGATCCATTCAACAAAGGCAGGTTGCTGGCAGAGGTCAGCTCCTGCCTTCTATTCTGAGAAAGCTAAGGAGTGAATTACCCAGTAGAATCCATAAGGTGGCCTGAGGAGGAAGACACTGCCACTGTATACAGGACAAGTGGGTGCTGTGGTTAGAATGTAAATGTTCCTCAGGCCCATGTGTTTGACCGTTTGGCTCTTGGCTAGTGCTTCTGTTTGGGGAGGTTGAGGATAGAATGGATCTCTGGGTAGAGGGGTGGGGGTGGGGACTTGAAGTTCATAGCCCAGCTTCCTGTGTCTTCACCCAGATGTGAGCAGGCAGCTTCACGTCCATCATGACTGCCACGGCCCTGAGCTACTCTTGACTCTTGCCTTTCCTACCACAATAGACCATGGACCAGAATAAACATGCCCTTCCTTAAATCACTTCTTGTTAAATACTTGTTTACAGAACACACACACACACACACACACACACACACACACACACACACACACACACACACACGCGCACACACACACACATGCACACACACACACATGCACACACATGCACACACACACACACACACACACACACACGTACACACACCACACATGCACACGCACACTCACACTCAGTCACACATACAAGCTCTCAGTGACACTCACACAGTGGAGTCACACTGTGACCATTGACTCTTTACAGGAATTCCACTGAGTGGACACTATGAGCAAATGTAGAGTCTGAGATCTGGTGTCTCCTTCACACTTTCTCTGACATAGGACAAGTCAACCCTGGGGACTCTGTTTTCTAGATTGGAGCACAGCAGCTGCAGGGAGGTGTCTCTATTGCTGGGGGGAATCAGAATGTGTTATGCCCTTGATAGTGTTCACTGATTTGGAAAACACATGTGGCCATTAATCTCACTGTCAACTTGATGCAATCTAGAAGCACCTAGGCATGCCTGTGAGGGATCATCTAGATTAAGAAGCACCTAGGCATGCCTGTGAGGGATCATCTAGATGAAGGCACTCCTGAGAATGTCCATGGGGGTTATTTCAGTGGGACTATGTGGAACCATTCCCTGGGTGGTATGGTGATCCTGACTTTCTCTCTCTCTCTCTCTCTCTCTCTCTCTCTCTCTCTCTCTCTCTCTGTGTGTGTGTGTGTGTGTGTGTGTGTGTGTGTGTGTGTGTAAAAAGATCTAAACACAATCATTTGTTTTTCTCCCTGAGTTCAGATGCAATGTGACAAATGTGACCAGCCAGCCTCCTGCTCCTGCACTGTGCCTCCCCAGCCTGTTGCCTTGTCTATCATAATGAACCGTGTCCCTCTGAACTGTAAGCCAGGATAGACCCTTTCAGCCTGCTGCCTTGTCTGTCATAATGAACCATGTCCCTCTGAACTGTGAGCCAGGATAGACCCTTTCTCCCGTAATTGATTTGTTGTTTTCTTTTTTGTCACAGCATCAGGAAAGAAGCCAAGGTGTCACATCCTAGAGGGGCCCAGAGCCTGGGTTAGACTCTCTCCTAACTCCTTTGCTTAAAGTAGAGACTGAGACTTGAGTCTACAGTGAGAGTAAGTTGTAGGAGCCCTCCAGAATTTGTTGTCCTCTGGTTCCTCTCCTCCAGTGAGAAAAGCCATGCTGCAACCATCCAGAGAAGCCTCGGCAGCTTGGGGAGGTTGCTGTAACAACTTTTGCTGGAAAAAAAAAAAGCCATGGAAATCCTGGGCCTGGTTTCCCTTTGGATTAAAATAAATGTTAAGTGCAAAGCCAAGGACCTGCTATTGATGAAATACCTTGAATTCCCCTTTCACAAGCAGCCACTGGGGGCGCTACTGAACAAATCCCACTGACTTCCACTGGTTCCGAGAGGAACACCAGGAACCACACTGGAAAAAGCAAATTACAGACAAATGATGAAATCGCCACCTTGCCAAAGATGATAAATAGCTTTGTTCTGACCTGGGGAGGTCACCTTTCTGGAGATGAAGGATGGATACTGTCTTGTCAGTAGAGATGAGTTCTGGATGCATAAGACTGCACAACACCATCTTACACCTTATTCTTGTGTTTGTGGGTGGGGCTCAAGTGTCTGCCACTTGTGTTCAGGTTCCTGACAAGCAGAGGGCATCAGATCTCCTAGAGCTGTTGTCACAGGCACTTGTGAGCTACCCGCTATGGTGTCGGGAACCACACTTGGTCCTCTGAAGAGCATCAAGAACAATTAGCCCCTGAGCCATCTCCCCAACCCCTCTTCTTTTTAACTGGTGTACAGTGTCCCCACAATCCTGCTGTCCAGTACTGTTCTTTGCAAGAAACAAAAGGTCCCCATTCCAACTTGTGGAAGATGGACAGTGGAGGCTGTCTGAAGTGATCAGAGCAGCTTCCTCTCCTTATTTGAATGGATGACATTGCCATGTAAATTTAATATGTACAAAATTCCCTAAAGGAAGCATCTAGAAGTTGCAAGAGGGAATCGGTGACTCCTGGAGGAAATGAAATCTGCAAATGAAACAGAGAACAAACAAAAAAGAATGTGTCAGCAAGGACGGGCTGTGGGCAGCTTCTACCTCTATTTACTGTTTTTGAAATTGTGGAAAGGATTTGGGAAATAAGCTGGGCATAGTGGTGCACTCCTTTAACCCCAGCACTTAGGAAAGCAAAGGAGGGTGGATCTCTATGAGTTTGAGGCCAGCATGGTCTACTATATAACCAGTTCCTTGTTAGCCAGTTACATAAAGAGACCCTATCTCAAAAAAATGGGTAATGTTAGTTGTATAAAATTACAGAGGTACATACTGTGATAAAGTTGAAAATGAGTTTGGGTCTAGGGAGATGGCTCAGTGAAGTGAATGTCTGCTGTGCACGCTGGGAGACCTGAGTTTGGACCCTGAGAACCTACATGGAAAGCCAGCCATGCTGGTGCTATAACCCCAGAAGTAGAGAGACGTGGATCCCCGAAGCTCATTGGCTGGCCAGCCTAGCTGAACTGATGAAGTTCAAGTTAGGTGAGAGACCTTGTCTCCATAGGTACAGGCAGAGAAAGGTAGAGGAGAGACTCTCTCAAGTTGTCCTCTGACCTCCACATGTTCTCTCTCTCTCTCTCTCTCTCTCTCTCTCTCTCTCTCTCACACACACACACACACACACACACACATAAATGGATTGAGAGCACAAAATTTGTTTTTCACATGAATTGAAGTAGTTGACTATTGTGTTTCGTAGTATGCAGAGAAAATGTTTCTAGATTGTAATTTTATAAGATTTTGTAAAGCTGAGCACATTTAAAAATATCAGTAAAACAGACGTTATGAAAAAAGATAATCATTTTCTGTGGGCTTGGCTTCATCTTTTATGGTCATGTTTGAATTTGCATTAAGGCTTCTGGCTGCTGCCTGGAAGAAGAGCTCTAGTTAGTGACAGCCCCTCTGTGGTGACGAGGGCATGTCTGACACAGAGTAGTTATTGTGCTGAATGAATGAATGAGTGAATGAATGAGTACATGTATGGCCATGGGTTTTAAGAAGGTTGCTGACATCTATTAGAGAAAGAACTATGTATCAGCTGACGCACACCCATTCAGCAAAAATGTTTGTGTGCAACAAGCACACGTGGACACGAAACACAAATATATAGTGCATGCCATCATTGTCTGAGTTTATTAGAAAGATAAACAATCCCTGGAAAACCATAAAAGAATGTGACTTCTTGCTTCACAGTTGAAGTGAGCTACTGACTGAGTTCACTGAAGGATGTGTAATAGATTAGTACTGTCTGGCTTCTTCTGGTGGGGAAACATAGGGCTGGGGACTCTGCTGTAGACTGGAGTCCAGGGCTGGGCACATGTACAGAATTGATGAGAGGTTGCAAACCCTGGGCACATTACTTGAGTCCCAAAGACAAGGTGAGGAGCTGGTGTGTGTGTGTGTGTGTGTGTGTGTGTATGATTGTGTGTGTGTGTGTGTGTGTGTGGTGTGAGTATGTATGAGTGTGTGTGGTGTGTGTGAGTGTGTGTGTGGTGTGTGGGGGGTGTGAGTGTGTATGAGTGTGTGTGAGTGTGTGTGTGGTGTGTGTGTGGGGGTGTGTGAGTGTGTATGAGTGTGTGTGGTGTGTGTGAGTGTGTGTGTGTGGTGTGTGAGTGTGTGTGGTGTGTGTGAGTGTGTGTGTGGTGTGTGTGGGGGGTGTGAGTGTGTATGAGTGTGTGTGGTGTGTGTGTGGTGTGTGGGGGTGTGTGAGTGTGTATGAGTGTGTGGTGTGTGTGGGGGTGTGTGAGTGTGTATGAGTGTGTGTGGTGTGTGTGTGAGTGTATGTGTGGTGTGTGAGTGTGTGTGTGGTGAGTGTGTGTGTGTGTGCACACGCGTGTTGGGAGTAGGAGAGTAGACTAGGAATGCGTGAGGAAGGGCTAGGGAGTGGGGGCAGGCCAGCCAGCTAAGTCTATAGAGACACATAACTAATTCAGACACAGAATGACACTCATAGCCTGTGTGTCCTGACTCTTGGGTAATTCCCAAAGATGAGACCAAATACCAGTCTGTCCTTCCAGAGTGCAGGGCAAAAGTAAAGACCCCAAAGTGGAAGGTGAGTGTGATGAGCGTCCATATGGGTTCCTCCAAAACCCTTGGTGTGGAGCTTGTTCTACATGCTGCAAGGCCCAGGCAACAGCCTCTTCTGAAGAACCCTGGTCCAGGGAAGGCCAGGTGCCACCACTGCTGCTAGCACTGGAGAATAAAGATGCTTCCTTCAGGCCAGCTGCTAAAGCCCCCAAGGCAAATCCAAGATTTAAAACTCCACACATGGTGGCTTGAGGCTGGCATTGAGGTGTCTTGGCTTCTCCCTTCCTTCTTTTTATTTCCTGAGGTGTTGATACTAGAGCAGTCCCTAATAAACATTGCAAGGGACTCTGTGGCCCAGGACACTCTCCTAGGCTGGCAGTCAGCTGGTGGCAAGAGACTGGTCACAATAGTTTGACGGTGTGCTGTGGAAATACAGTTAAAACAGGAAGACGAGGCTGGGCCCAAGCCTGGCCTTGATTATTGCTCTACAATACTGTCTTGCTTTAGGGTATTTCTTTGACCAAGTTTGGAAACTGAGGCTGCCAAGGACTGGCAACATGAAGAGGAACCAATGCCTGTGGCAGAGTGAAGTGCTAGCAAGAGAACTCACTGAACATGGCTTGAAAGCTTATAAAATAAACTAGAATGGGGCTGTTGTTAAAACAGAAGAAGGAAGTCACAGGCAGGGAGGGTGAGGGCCACCACGAGGATCTACCAGGGTTAACTGACAGGGCAGGAGTATGGGCCACAGATGGCCCTGGATCCTGGGAGACGGTGGCCACCAGAGATAAGGAGTTATTGACCATGTCTACCCTTTCTGCCAGAATGGTAAAAACTGAGCATCTGGGCAAGTCACAGTCTGGGATTGTACCTCTGGCCTCAAACTGAAAAGCAATGTTTCAATTTGTGATCTGAGGGTCCCACACAGTTCAAAGCATTCACGAAGAGACAGTACGCTGTGTACAGTACAGAGTGATTGTACACACCTGTCATGGAAGCCCTTAGGAGGCTGAGGCAGGAGGATCACCAGTTCCCAGGCCAGCCTGGCCTACCTACTGAATTCAAACCTACCTTGGACTGCAGGGTGAGACCTCCTCTCAAAACCAATAAAGTAAAAATAATGCAAATATTAATCCTATTCATTTTCATTTGATGAAGTGCCCTTTACCCATCTTAATTGCACAGGGGCAACTGTGTCTCAGGTGTGGGTGAGTACGGTCCTGTATCCCAAGTACACGCAAGCTTTGCCAGACTGTTTTCAGGATGTGTGGCCCTTGGATCTCTTTGACAAGTTTCAGCTCCACGGATTCTCAGATTGGCTTCCTGGTGCACAAGGGACCCCGATGCTTTTCTGAACAGGGCCAGGAGCTGCCTCGGAGCTGGCCTCATCCTCTGCTGTAGAGACTCAGTGCGAAGGAGCAGGAGTGAGGAGAATGAGCCCCAGGGGTGTCTGTGACCCTCCACGCCACCACAGGGAGCGCCCTGGTCACCCTTTCCTGGTAGGCAATTAGCAGACTGCAGTGGGGTGAGTCCTGCGCCTGGAGTCTTCCCTCTGCCCATCTCTCGGCAAACAGACTTTGATAGTTCCCCTGGTTACTCTGAAAAACAGCCTCGGCGCTTGCAGAGCGTGTTTCTCAAATACCGGCATCCAGGGACCACAGAATCACAGCAACAAATGTTATGAGGCAATATTTCTAAATAGACATGCTGAAAAAAAAACCCAAATAGGACCATTAAATAATAATCCTCATTAAACCCAACCCAACCCAAACCGAACAGAATCGTTCTTAAAAGTGTTTGAGAAGGAAATGGAAACAGAACTCCAAATGCTTTAGAGAAGATTAATAATTTGCTTATTAATTTGATTGATAATTACGTGTTTTTTTTTCTAGAATGGTGCATTTAAATATTATTATTAAAAATCCCGCTTAGGTTTCTCTCACACCGTAGCTATCAGAGTACAGGACATTTTTTTAAGTATGCAAAAAATGAAGCCCAGTATTTTACAATGTGTTGCTTCTCCCAACCCCCAAGGAGGTAGCCTTCTCTAAAACATTAATCTGTGGTAAAAAAAAAAAAAAAAAAAAAAAAAAAAAAAAAAAACAACAAATCACAATCAAGACACTGCTAATTCACAGGAAATTAGCTGAGGAGTCTACTCGGCAAACACCCCTGCTAAGGCTTCATTAGTGTGTATTTTCACACAATTCAATTAGCCAAAACACATACGAATGCTAGCCGAGCTGTTGGCTGCACTGGGAGTGTAGGGAGGGCTTTAAGCAGATCTGAAACCAAATTGCATAGCCGGCTTTGCGGCTCTGTGCATACAAAGATACCTTCAGGCTCTAATAAATTCGTGAAACTTTTTAAAGTCTGATTTCCTAGCAGGCAATCACTTTTAATTAACGGGCTCACCTACAGCAACACATGTCCTTCAAAAACTTACATTATTTTTTCTTTTTGAATTTCAAAGTTTCTGTAGTAAAAGTTGAATAGCTGAGTAGCTTAACCTCAAAAGGATTCCAGGCTTTTATGACAGTTATAAATCACTGTGGTGCCTTCTCTATAAAGAAGAAACGATTCTTAACACAACAGAGAGAGGAGAAGACCTCTTTTTAGTCATAGCTAGAAGCAAGCATTTTCTCCAAAGGTCAAAGAAAAAAAAAACTTTTCCTCAGTTAAAGAATAATTTTAAGGACATTGCCGTTACTTGCAGAAGTAATCGCTTATAATTTACTCTATGAATTAAACATTCAATTTCCAGGATTGAGGTTTGACACGAAGTGGACTCCCCGCTTTCTCAGGCTGGCTTTGTAGAGTCCCTCTTGTCATTTTTTTTTAGTAAACAGGGGCCGGGAGTGAACGAGGGGTCTTGGGCTTAATGAGCCCTTCTCCTTGAGGAAAACCAGCATTTAAATGTTCTCTGAGAGATGCCTTAGAGTTCCTCCTGCCATTTCCTTTCCAGGCCTTTGTTTTGGAAGATGGGGCTTCTTGCTCAACCAGTTCCCCGGCTGTCTGAGGCTAACGATTAGGTTGCAGAAACCTGGGAAAGAGACAGGTCTGTGTGAAATAAGGGAAGAGTTAAGGTGGAATCGAAGTCTGTCTGTCTGTCCTGCCACTGCCCTTGAGCACCTGGATCTACCTCAGGTTCAACCAGCAGTAGCCTCACAGCCTGGTGGCGATGCCTGCCCCTCCCCCGCCTACCAGTGGTCCCATCACTTCAACAGTGTTTTCCTCAAACACAGGAACTCTAATTACCATTCCTTCCTAAGTACTCCTTCCGGCAGACTCTTGGGGGATGGTTGCTGTGATGGAATAAGAGCAAAGCAAAAGAAAGGAGAAAGTGCTGTTGTCCATCACTGTGCAGGTCATCACAGTGGAGGCCAGGCCGCCGGAGCTTGAAGATGGAGGCCACTGAACACCCACAACTAGAAAGTAGAGAGCAATGGTGCTTGCTGTTGTTCAGCACTTCCTCTGTTTACACAGTCCAGGTCTTTCAGTTACGGCCACAGAGACTGTCCCTCACAGCCATGCCCAGTGGCCCAATTTCCCCACAGACTCTGTATTTTGTCAGTTGTCAGCTAACACTTTCATCACAGGGAATGTCATTAGGGAGGTGATTTCTGCCCTTCTGAAAACCCGCATCTACCTGCAGGGCAGAGATGGCGGCTCCAGCTGACGGTGTGAGGCCTAGGGGACACTCAAGCCCCTCTCTTCACCCTTGCTGAAGCTGCTGGAATCATCCTTATGAAAGACCCTGGAGGCTCAGGCCCCCAGGATCTTGGCCCACAACTG